AGAATTCCTGGCAGCAAACCTGTTTGTAATAGTACAGTGGGACCTGAAAGTTCGAAAACGGAAACAATTTTCTCCATAGGAATCAATGATTGATGATTTAAAGTTTTTCAACAGTATTTTGTTCATACGGGAAACCAATGAAAATAAATAGATCAAACAAAAAAGATAAACACAACTTAATAAAGAATAAAGCTATAAATAGGAAAGGCAATTTTATTCATCCTTACTGGTGATGAGGAGTCGTGATTGGACAATGTTCGCTTCACTTTCTCTGTACGTCATATTTAGTTCAATTTCACATGGTTAAATTGATGTCCAGTTTCTGGTCTTTGAGTGCAGCTCAGTCCAACAGTAGCCCAGTACCTTCCTCTGTCCACTCAGTCCACTTGTCCTGCTTCACCATTTCAGTGCTTCACTTCCAACATATATGTTTATAACAGGGTGAGCTGATAAGACTCAACCTCGTTTTATTATGCTTCAGTTTTTGAGGAAAGTCAAAAATGAGTCCACCCCTCCCCCGGCCCTGTCTTCTATAACCAGGTGCTACCTGTATTCCACCTGGACTCCTTATCTCTTTCTAATATTGGAAATGAGGCCGTTATTGCTAATAGAGACCCAAATTCCATTCAGCTAACGTTTCCTTTGACGATTACAATGACACACCATGGATTAGGCAAACATTTCCAGCTGAAGACGATGTTTGGTCTCAATGTCACCCCGGCAGGTGCCACTCCTGTCCACTGGTGGTTTAATAACATTTTATCTCCAGCAGGGGCATAGTCCCACTGAGCAGTTAGTCACCAGGAAAACACACTCATGAATGTGTGTGTGTATAAGACTGATGAGTGAGACTCTGAGACAGTACCTGAAACCAGAGGAGCAGAATGTGACTTGTCTTCTCTGTTAGTGACATCATCACAGTTCACTCCAGCATCGTGTTTTATCTGCTCACACTTTCTTTTAAAATAAGGATAAAGAATAATCATTTTTGTTTATTGTAAATATTGTGAAGACTGGACCAAAATGCTTTACTGCAAACTTTATGTAATGCATAGTATAAAGCAGTAAGGTTTTGTAATATAATATATTAAGGTATTATTGTTTTTCATGATCATTATCCCATTTGTAAGGACCAAAAAAGAGATGATTTCTTTGAATTAAAAAAAGTAATAATAGTTTTATTTTTGGCTTTTTTATTACTAAAGTCAAATAGTTTTATGCTACATTTTGCCATCTTTAGCAATTTTACATGTTTTCAAATGTTAATGCCTAATTTTTATTTTAATTCAAATTTAATTTTTTTGTTTGTTTTTTTTACCAAAAGTGATTGTAATCTACCAATACATTCGCTAACTTTATCTTCTACACTAAATTATAGTAGCATTTCAACCAGGACATCTGTTTATTTTAAAAAAGACAATTTGACACCAGTGTAGTCTTAACTACAGACGGAGTAGCAGTTGGCCTTGCAGTACTACGTCATAAAATGTAGCCTTTGATGAAATACATTCTCCTTCGGGGTCAGTGCTGGGTTACAGCACCATTTTTCCTAACCTAAGTGGCCTCATTGCTTCTTCCCTAATGTCCATGCAGCAAGAAGGTGAAGTCCACTAGGAGTTGGAGGGAGGTCTCCTTCCTCTGGGGCCTCCTAATGATGACAGGGGTTTCCTCCAGGGCTCATTAAGAGTATCATCTCCTGGAGACTCCCTTAAAAGCACATAAAATGACACTGTCTGTTATGCTGCAGCATTACAGCTGCAGCATATTCTCACCGGGAATATGGGCCAATTTACAGAGTGTGAAGTGGAACAGCTCGTGTCCGGGGCCTTCAGTCCTCAGCTAGAGTCAATACAGATTACATTCAATCCACTGTATCGAAAGATTTAAGCAAATTTTACATTAGAAAAAAAACAAAACATAATTCTGCTGTTATTCTTGGAAAATACACTATTGTGAAATCTGTTGTCAGGTGAAACTTTGAAACCCTATTATCACATTCTTTAATAGTCCTTAATTAGGAGCATGTGTGAAAACATTAAGCTAATTGTAAGATATTCATAATTATTAGCAGTTTGTGCAGAACCTTCAGTATTATTAAAATCTAACAATGAGAGGTTCAAGAGGTCAGAGGTCAAGCCTAAAAAGAACTGCTGAATGTGCATGACATTCAGTTCATCAGTTTGTAACCGGACCACACCTTCAACTGTCAACAGCGGGCAGCTACAGGTTTGCTGCTGATCCATTTTACAACAACGTCAATTAAAACTGCAAATATAGATGAATAAAACTGAGTGGTTATTTCAGCCTCTTAAAAAACTTTTCAACACATGCAGATGTATGTTCATCCTGCGTCACAAAATTAAATGTGTTTCTCTCCAGGTCCATGAAGCCCTCAATTGTTGTCTCGTGATTTTGCACCTCGAAAAGTTCTTTGTATGTGTCTGTGTGTGTGTCTGTTAATTGGGACAACTGCTCGGTGCATAATTTGTGCTTGGACTGCGTCAAGACTGTTTACACCTGAGCAGTTTTGCTAATGACAATAATCATGAACTAAAACTGTGAAATTACATTTCATGCGTGGTGCTAATTTTTCAAAAGTGCTCATTGGTTTTAGCTGTTAATTTAAAAGGACGCTGACCCATAAGATTTGGCAGAAATGAATGAATGAACAACAAAGCTGCGGTGTCCAAAACCCAAGTGCCAGATTCAATAATGTAAAAAAAAAAAAAAAACTATAGAGCTAACTGTTTCTTCTCTGCACTGCAGCATATTATATACCGTTTCATTTCTGCAGTGCCATTACAATATACTGAACACATGTTACGTTTTTAGGTTTAATTAATAATTTTATTAAATCTGTCACACAGTATTTCCACAGTTTTCTGTAAACATTTATTTTAATTAAAACACTAAATGATACCATAGCATATGATGTGTTTTAATCTTAGCATGGATTTAAAGCCATTGCTTGAAAACTGCAGGAACATTTTTATTTAGCCATATTATCCAAAATTAAGGGTTTTAATGAGGTTTTAAACTAAAACTAGAAATGATGGATATTTTTTCTCTAAGTTTAAAATCCATCACAAGAAAGACAAACAACAAAGAGGTGGATGTAAATAGCCAACATAATATTGTGAGCGTCCTCTGAGGGTTGACATCTGTTGACTTATTCCAGTGAAACCTATGATTGAGACCCAGGCTAATTAAATAGTGGCCTGTGTATTATGAGAATGACAATTAACCAGTAAAAATACATTTCTACCATTGAACAGACAGTGACTGCAACACTTACTGTGACTGTAAGGCCTTGCTTGTGTGTCTGACAGTGTTAGCAGTTTACTATACAGCAACATATCTCTCTCAAAGTTGAATTAGGTACATTTATAAATGAAAACAGTCAGTTTAGCCCTGCATGGACATGTACATACATTTTTGCTGCAAATTTCAGGATCTTGTTGAGTGTGTTGTGGTTTGGAAAAAATGTAATAATTTTTAAATTATTGGCCAATTCTTTGCTGCTCCTTTTATTCACTTGCAAGAACCAGGGGCTTTACGATCTTGAAATGTGTTACTTGATAACCAGCCCACCTCTGGAAATCTTGCTTTTGTGACCTTTTGATGACCATTTTTTGGAAGTTGAAGACATTTGCATTCATTTTTATATATATGTTAGTAAAAACACATAGAGAAAAGAAATCCTCTGCAACTATTTTTATGTTTCATAGATTAAAAGTGAGTTAATAAACTTTAGATTTTTGTTTCCTTGTTATGTTTACAGGTTGAAAATTGTACCTTATCCTAACCCTCACCTTAAGCATAAAACCACAACCGTGTCCCTCTTCAATTATTTCTTAGTGGTTATACCTGTCTGGTTACATGCTTGTCTGTGTGTTGACTACAACTGTCGGAGGGCGGGTCAGTGATTATAGTCCTACAGTTCTTAGTGGAGTTGTGAAATATGCAGTTGTTGAAGCAGGTTCTATTCATGAGGGAACTGCTGGTGGAGAATCACACGCTATTTGTCAGCATTGTTTACACTGGTGTGACTGACACCAGTTTCACTGTTTGTTTTTTTGACATAGCTCCATGTAAACATGTAGACTCTGAGCCTTACTTTATCACAGGGCCAGTGCACTGTGTTTGCAGTCTGTTTTTTTTTTTTTTTTTGGTTTCCATGGTGACATCAAACGCTTCACTGCAAAGATAAATGTCAACATAACATTTTTCTTAGCTAGGACGTCAGTAATACTAAATTCACAGAACAGACACAACATTTTTTTACCGATATCTGACCCATTGGTGTCGACAGGTAAGCTGGAGTTGCCCGGCTATTGACCTCAGATAGCTCTGTGGCATGAGTCAAGGGCATGAGGCATGAGGGACAGTGTGGGAACTCTGATTGTTGGCAAAGTAATCAGATTGACTGACAAGGATCTCATAACAGCCTTTTCTCTCAAATTTAGACACGCACACATATTTACAGATGTAAAACTCTTCACGGCGGTAGACTGTTTACGCTGGTGTGTGATGGCTGCTGCATTGAAACTATAATGTAAATAACTGGGACACAAAAATGACCTTGGGCTTAAACTTGGTCTTGATGTATTTAGGCATGGAGAGTAAAATTTGTACTCGTTCATTTTACTGCAGTAACACAACCACTGCATGGGGACTTCTTTTAGCTAAACCAAACATGACAGGTGTAAACATGTTGTTGAAGGTGAAGTTAAAATTAAATGGACTGTTAGCATCACATTAGCATGACAGAGTTTGCACCTTTTTTTTCTTCTTGTAGTCCTGTGGCTGCAGGATGTACAGTATATGAGTGATGAAGCACTGTTAATATTTTCTGAGTTAAGTTGAACAAGACTTTACAAACTATCTCTCTGTAATGAAAACAGTTCAGAAAAGACTAAACAGAAAAGACTAATTCCACATTAAAGACATTTTTGGATTCATTCTCTGAAGAAGTTAAGAAAGACTTTTCACCTTAAGCTATCTGCCATGGCTGGAGACAACCTACTTTTCCTCATTATTAGCATCCTCAGGAACACGGTACATGTGAGTAGATATTATGAGAACATGGGTTACGCTCTGCTGGGCAGAAAAAATATAGGACAGAAAAATGATAAGAACCCCAGAGCGCTGTCTTGGGTCTTCTAGTCCCTGCCCTGGCTTTTTCTCCTCATCTGCTCCTTCTTCCTAATTAGCTCCTACAGCCAGCACAGACTGGACACGGGCCTAGAACAAAGCCAGATGTTCACAGAGATTTCGCCTTGCAGGGGAGTCTTTTGTTTACTACAAGATGGAAAGCACATCTCTTGCCGTTTCTTTGCTGTGGGAGAGTTTTATGGGAACAAAACCATTGTGAACCTGTGGATGCCAAGGAGGAGCTTTGAAGAAAAACATTTCTTTTTATTAAATGTCAGACACCTTAGAGGCCGGTCACATTGTTTTAGTGCACAATCCACACTATTGGACGTATATCGGTGGAATCAGCAGAACCGTCATCAGTTGCCTTTGCTGTTTTCCTCTCATCCAACATGGCGTGACAGCCATTATCCAGCTCAACATTTATCGCTGCGAAATTGACGCAGAGCCTATTTCTGGGATGATTAATTTAGTGCTAGTGTGGCCACTGCTGGAGGATCAGTCTTAATCAGCAAAGATGGGAGAAAGTCATGGGTCCATACATCAGCCACTGCAGAGACGCAGTGGGAGAAAAAAAATGAAGACACTTGGATTTGACTCCATTTCCATCCCGGACTGAATCTTGGAGATTCTTGGAGGATTGGGGGGAACAGGTCGATGGCTTCAATACAGAGTGTCAGTGCCCGAGTGTGATTGGACAATAATACCCTCACTCTCATCAGCATCCTTCAGATCCACTGTGACTGTAATTGGGTTAAAGCACAGGGCTAAAACTAGTGATGAGGGTGATGAGTCTGACCGCAGTGAAGGATTTTACATGAATCTGGCAGAGAGAGCTGAGAGAGTAACACTTGACGAAATGATCAGGTCGTGTCACTGAGTAATTTTGCATTAGTGCTACAACTGTGACTGTTGTAAAACCAGTGACTTCATTTATCGCAAAACATAATTTGGGGACTATTTATTGAAATAGAAGTGACAGTCACTGATAAAGGCGTCAAGTCTCCTTTTAGTACATAAGTAGAAATGTTCTTTTCAAACGTCAGTGTCCACTCGCTCACAGGCGTGCCTTATGTGTGGCGTGGCTGCAATAAATCCACTAGGAAGCATCCTTAGAGTTTGCGATCCTCTGCCTGTTTCTTAGACAATAACAGATACTAATAAATAAATAATAATACTGATGACATTAAATAGAAATTATATTTTTGTATTTTTATATATAATATAATAAATATATATAATAAAAACTAATTTAGTCTTTGTCCGTAATCAGTTATGTTTTCTGTTTATTTAACAGATGTTGTCAACCATGCTAGGAATACATTTCCTTTTAGTTTCTTTTTCTGGTAGCATTTTGCAGGTCCCCGCTGAGTGAGAGCATATTCAGGCAGTTGAAGATTAAGTTTGATGTTAGGATTACGATGTGCCAAATGTTTGGTGTATGTAGATTGGCGTTGTCTCACTTCCTGTTTTGTTTTGAAATCCATCCACACTCCTCTCTTTCAATATGGTTTCACTGTCATTAGCTTCTCCACCTTGACCACCTGCACCTGTGTTTTCGTTATCTCCACCTGTGAGTGGCTCATGTCGACGTCACCTTAGAGGAGTTGAAAAGTTTTTAGGAGAGCTCTGATTAAGAGAAGCAGTTGTAGTTGTGCAATAAACCAAATCACAAACAAAATGCCTTTAAAATGAGGGTGGAATTATTCTTATGGTATTGTGGAGCGGCTACGTGAGCAGGGGATCCCCGTTGTTGTCCGTACAGATCAATGAAAGTGTCACAAAGGCAGGAGTAAAAAGAAGTTACCTTAGCTGCGGTCATCTCACTGGGAAGTGATTGAACAACTGTCAGCTGAGTCATCGTCATTAGCAAAGGCTACCAATGTAATGTATGGCCAGTTACATGCTCAGTGTTGTATGTGTGTGTCAGTGTTGCTCCTCGGCTGTCAATATAATGACATTGAACAATGTGTTGCCTCAACGTTGACTTTGTCAAATTAGTCGACATGAAAAAAATGGATTGATTGATGATGGAATTGATTTGCATTGATTGCATTGATTTGAAACGTAATTTTCTTAATGCAAGAAAAATGACAAAAACAAATTACAGTTTTAAAGTTGAATTGTTCACATTTGTTATTTACATTTTTCCATTGTCCCCCTATGTCCACCCTAACTCTTGCCTTTTCTTGTTTTAGGAGGTCTACCATCCGGGAAACTCTATAGTGTTCGGAGGCCAGTTCTACGACAGCTTGCTGAAGTCTGATCTATAGGACAGGACAAGTTGGCATCCAGCCTGTGCAAGGAGGTACAAATGTGTTCTTTGTTTGTTTTGTTTTCATAAAGAATGAAGAAAGAATTGTTGAATCTTTTCCAAAAATGAAAAAAAGAACATTTAAAAAACTGAAACAAATTTGTTCCCTGAAGAGAAAAAAACTGCATATTCATCTCAGCACAAGCTGGATCCTCACCTGCCTCATTTTGGTGTGATCATCAGAACAAAAGCAAAAAAAAAAAAAAAAAAAAAACACAATCTCATTAGCTTGAAGTCAAGTCAAACTTCGCTTTTGTGAAATGCCAATCCAATTAGCTTGTTCTCCTGCAGCTCCCTCTTCCTCCATGAAGGTGTTTGCATCTTTTACTGACACAATCATGCCTTAAAGACAAAGACAGAAAAGACACTTGTAGTAAACAGTTCTGTGCCCAGGCTTTCCTTTGGGGGCTTTTCAAGCTAGGTGGCTAATGTAATGGGCTCATGACAGCAGCAGGGAGTCGTAAGGAGAGCCATGAGGGAGGCCATGTGGACACGAGCACGTGGTGACATGGAATCTCCTGGGAGGGAAGATGAAAGAAAGCTTGACTCCTATTATAGGGAAGATGCTGAAAGGCTGAGCACTATTGAT